GCACTGAATTCGCTGTGAACTTACGTTAAGCCCCTGGTGGGATCACAGCTACACTGCAGTAACCAAAGCGACTGCCAAAGTATGCAGAAAATCGTACACACGCACCCTGGTCCCCACATGCTTGTCAAGCCCTCCTTCTTCTTTCTGTTCTATGGAAGGGGGTCTACATCCTTCTAGTAACCTATCTCTACCAATGGGCTCAAGGCAGACCCAGCCGGTGCTGCTTGAACCACCCTCTACCAGAAGGACAGAACAACATCCCCGCAAGGCCAGCAACATCCCAAAGTTGGCTGTATGATCTCTTTGAGAAATGGAACACTCAGTTCTTTGTCTATTTTCTTGTTTTACAATTATTTACTCTGCCCGTAGGAATCTGATGGGTTTTAGAACACTCAGCTCAATAGCGTTATCCATCTTCCTATCACTGTGGCGTCAGAGCATAATACCACACCCTAACAATCCAGGCCTTGAGAAGCAAATATTTTCCAAGAGTGTCTTCAGAGAGAATCCATGAAATAATTTTGACTTTACATGTTCTAAGTAAAGGATTTCAGCTGCAAAGAGTAATATATGGAACCCTTAAGCTTTCCCAGTTTCACTTTTCAGTTGGCAGATGCCTGTCCTCCCTTACCCTAAAATCTTGCAAATACTTTTCAGTATTCCTGTTGGTTTGCCAAGCTATGCTATGCTGTAGACAAAATTAACTTTTTAAACTTTGGCACATGAATGTTTGAAACAAAACCCTGTTTTAAAATATCTATGCTATATCACAGACTGGGTGGCTGGGCTCCAGGAGACTCAGGACAGACTCAAATCACTGTAACCCAAGTTCCAATCCACCTCGAGGTTCCCACACTGCCACCGCCAAACCTGAACTCCCTGAGGGAGAAACGTGCCTTGTTTCATGGAGCACAGGTCTGGCACAAAGAGGCTACTGTAGGCCGGGTGCGGTGGCTCACGCCTGTAATCCTAGCACTTTGGGAGGCTAAGGTGGGTGGATTACCTGAGGTCAGGAGTTCAAGACCAGCCTGGCCATCATGGTGAAACCCCATCTTTAATAAAAATTTAAAAAAAAAAAAAAGTTTAAAAAAAAAAAAAAAAAAAAAAAAAGAAGCCACAGTAAAAGTTTGTTGTTTAAAAGAACAAGACGGACACTGTATCACATCAACAATAAGATCTGTGTTAGGGTGGCTGTGGTGGCTCATGCCTGTAATCCCAGCACTTTGGGAGGCCACGACAGGCAGATCACTTGAGGTCAGGAGTTCAAGACTAGCCTGGCCAACACAGTGAAACCCCATCTCTACTAAAAATACAAAAAAAAAATTAGCCAGGCATGGTGGCATGTGCTTGTAATCCCAGCTGCTAGGGAGGCTGAAGCATGAAAACTGCTCCAATCCAGGTGTGGAGGTTGCCGTGAGCCGAGATCGTGCCACTGCACTCTAGCCTGGGCGACAGAGAAAGGTCTATCTCAAAAAACAAAAGGCCAGGCGCGGTGGCTCACACCTGTAATCCCAACAATTTGGAAGGCCAAGGTAGGTGGATCACCTGAGGTCAGGAGTCTGAGACCAGCCTGACCAATATGGTGAAACTCCGTTTCTACTAAAAATACAAAATTAGCTGGGCGTGGTGGTGGGTACTTGTAATCCCAGCTGTGAGGGAGGTTGAGGCAGGAGAATCACTTGAACCCAGAATGCAGAGGTTGCAGTGATCTAAGATGGCACCACTGCACTCCAGCCAGGGCAACAAGAGCGAAACTTCCTCCCAAAAAAAATGATCTGTGTCAACTGTAAAGGTCTTTTTGATTGTTGCTGGAGCAAGGGATATTCTACTTTTGCACTCCTTTAAGTTACATAAAGAAACAAAAGACTCTGAACAACAAAACAATCTATTCTATATATCTAAATATCCTGCTTATACCACAAAAAAAAAAAATCTAGTTGAATGATTTGTAATGGTTTATATTCTACAGACTCTCTCAAAGAATATTATTATTTTTGGCCCTTCTAAAACATAACTAAAAAAAAAGTCTTAAAATTCTCAAGCACATTATTTACTCCTTTAGAAGCAGAATTTATAGACAAGGAGAGCTCAGACCAAATCAGTTTTAAAAATTAAAGGGGAGGCCGGGCACGGTGGCTCACGCCTGTAATCCCAGCACTCTGGGAGGCCATAGTGGGTGGATCACCTGAGGTCAGGAGTTCAAGACGAGCCTGGCCATCATGGTGAAACCCCATCTCTAAAAAAAAAAAAAATTAAAGGATTAAAAAAAAGGTGTACATCGAAGGGCTAAAGTCATCGCTACCCAAAGCCCCCACAGTTCAGCTCCTGATCTTCAAATCCCGGGGGAGGGTAAATTTTGGATGAGGGATTATGCCTCAGCTACTCTGGTATTTATAAAACATTTTGGCAGGTGCTCTGCCAGGCAGTCTATCTATAATTAGTGAATATGCCTCAGAAACGTAAAGTGAACTCAAACGGTTTCAAATGCCAACAGCCACCCCCCTGAATACTGAGCTATGTAATCATAGGGCTGCCATCATCTAGATAACTTGGTGCTGGGTGTCCTGCCACGGTGCACACGCACACGCCAGTTCTGAAGAGTCTTTTTTTAAACCTCTAATGGCTCGACCTCAACACCTGCTACACTTCCTGAAGACAGACAGGCTCTGGAGCTCCACTTGTTCCTCGCATGCGGCTGCACTTTCTAGGAACGACCGCACACATGCAGACGCTGGCCAGCTGCCAAGGCGGGGGCAGCCCAGCCGCCTCGGGCCTGAACTTTCCCAGCGCTGTCAGGGCAGGATCCCGCTATGAGCTGACTCAGCAGCCGGTATGGAACTCTGCCAACCACACAGCAGTGCGGGGGCAGCCGGCAACTCACAGATGTTTTGCTAAACCAAAGCAATCAGTGGGAGGCGGGTCTGGGCTGGTGGCCAGGGTGCTGCTGTCGTGGAAGTTGGGATTTTCTGATTCTAGTCCTAGCTCTGCTGCAACTCCCTGGGTGATGTGAGCGAAAACCTCCGTGCATCTCAGTACCTCTCCTACTTCGGAGGCATGTCTGTGTGATGCAGAAGATGGCACTGTTTACATAAAAGAGCTCCTGGAGCACTATTACCTACCACGTGCCTGGCACTGGACAGGCTTTCACCTGTGCCAGCTCCGTTAATCCTTACAACATCCTTGGGAGGCGCTTTCATTCTTTTTATTTCACAGATGAGAAGATAACAGGCTCAGAGCAATTCAGAGCCCAATAAAAAGATCACAAGGGCAATCAACAGAAGTGACGGGATTTGAACCCCTCTTCTGGCTGCAAACACTACTGCTGTAAAACTCAGATCTACTGCACAGGCCTCCTGATCCAAGACGTTTGATTTTTCAGGTTCCAGAGGACCTTTCTTATATGACTTCTCAGTTGCCCTGTGAAAACCCACAGCTTTTCACAAATGATTTCTAAACAGTACCAATGGATCACAAGAAGTGTGTGTGCTTAAGCGGGGTACCCAGGGACTACTGGTTTTATCATGAACTCCCTTCCTAAGCACCAAAAAGTCACTCAACATGGAACAACTTATCATCCCTCCCATTCTTTGGGTGAGGAAAAACTATATTGTGGGTCACAAAGAGAAGATGAATCAGAAGTCAAAGGCTTAGCTAAGAACAAAGATTCCCTAGGCTCCACCCTCCAAGGCAATTCATTAGGACTCTGCAATCTGTATTTTTGACAAAGCTCCCTAGCTGACTCTGATGCTCAGCCGTTTGGTAGTCACTTCAGGTTTCCTTGACTAAAAAGGAAATTTTGAGGTCGACCCTTCCCTGTAGTCAAGGGGATGACGTAACAGTGAAATGAAATCATGTCTACAAGGCTCTTTGTTGGAAAATATACATAATATGAGTGCTTCTTTTCAGCTGTGTTTAGGTACAAAACAACTAGCTGTCCTTAAAGAGCACGATCCTGGGTTAGCCTGGAGCTAAGAAACTGTCTAAGCAAGAATGCTCTTTTACACTACTGTGAGAAAACATAATTATTAGAAAAACCCCAATTAGTCACACATTTTAGATATTCCTCATGACATTGTTGCAACTTCATCCTTCCTTAAAAAAATGAGATTGTATTGACATTCTTTCCCATCAAACTTGGAAAAACGTATACAGCGCCAGGTGCGGTGATGCACACCTGTAATCCCAGCACTTTGGGAGGCCGAGGCAGGTTGATCACCTGAGGTCAGGAGTTTGAGACCAGCCTACCCAACATGGTGAAACCCCATCTCTACTAAACACAAAAAATTAGCCAGGTGTGGTGGTGCATGCCTGTAATCCCAGCTACTTGGGAGGCTGAGGCAGGAGAAACTCTTGAACCTGGGAGGCGGAGGTTGCAGTGAGCCCAGATGGCGCCACTGAACTCCAGCCTGGGCAACAAGAGCGAAACTCTGTCTTAAAAAAAAAAAAAAAAAAAAAAAGAAAGAAAAGAAAAGCCTTTATTTTTTTTTTTTTTTTTTTTTTTTTGAGACGGAGTTTCGCTCTTGTTACCCAGGCTGGAGTGCAATGGCGCGATCTCGGCTCACCGCAACCTCCGCCTCCTGGGTTCAGGCAATTCTCCTGCCTCAGCCTCCTGAGGAGCTGGGATTACAGGCACGTGCCACCATGCCCAGCTAATTTTTTGTAGTTTTAGTAGAGACGGGGTTTCACCATGTTGGCCAGGATGGTCTCGATCTCTTGACCTCGTGATCCACCCGCCTCGGCCTCCCAAAGTGCTGGGATTACAGGCTTGAGCCACCGTGCCCGGCGAAAAGCCTTTATTAAGAGTAACATACATTTCATTGCTTTAATGAAGAAGACAAATATTAAGTAAGAAAACGTTCCAAGTCTATTCATGTCTAGGTTGTCGGTCACTGAAGTGGGGTGAGAAGGCACAGACTGGCACAGCCCCTGACGCTGTCAGTCCAGTACCCCTCTCCAGCCTTTAGGAAAAACAAACAACCTTCCATACCAGAAAGACTGACCTGCTTGAGCTGCTCGTCCAGGCTCCAGTTCGGCTGCCCGGCTGTGGAGACAGAAGGTGGGGCCTTGGAAGCGTCTTTGGTATGGTCTTCTTTAGGCTGTTGTCCATGTGGTGGGAGCCCTGGTGCTGGAAGTAGATTGGACATGGGTGCCACTCTGGGATCTTGGCGAGCTACTTGCTGCACATGAAAATATTTTGAAGCAGCCTGGGTTTCTTTCTCAGCCACCTCTGCAACTTCATCATCCCCATCCTCATCCTCCAAACCTTCCTCTTCCTCAGGCTCTGAGTTCACGTTGCCCCGTTCAAAACCTTGGGCCACTGTGGTGGTGGCTGGAACTCTGGCTAAGGGACCCAAGGGAGTGCTGCCAGAAGGCCTCCCAGGTGTGGCAGAAAGGAGAGTCGGCTGTGTGACCAGCTTTTGGGCATACAAGAACTGGGCTTCTCTCATCTGCTGGCCCTGCTTCTCTCTGGCATCCATCTGCAGAGGAGCCAGGTGTGGCTGCTTCTGTTGCTGTTGCTGCTGCTGCTGCTGCTGCTGCTTCTGAAGTGGCTCCATTACTGCCTCAAGCTTCACCCACAGAGTGGCATGACTCTGAACCTGGGCACAGCCCACCAGGCACACTGGGTCTAAACCTTAAGTAATTAACAGAAAGCACAAAGAAGGAGGGAAAAAAACAACTATGTAAAACAGGTATAAAAAGGTTTCCTTTCCTCCAGCAGAGGGCCATTGAGTTCCGAACGCTGAACATATGCTCCTAAACCTGAGTTTTAAGATGAGTGAGTTGTGGGGGTTTTGTGAGTGGGTAGGAAAAGGTGTGAAGAAGACAAACAGGATCTCAGAGGGGAAACAGGGAATGAATCTCAGTAGTAGTAGCAGCAGACTCCTTGAGTAGCATACTATTAAAAGAAGTATATCCAGCCAATATCTAGTCTGCTAACATGTGTTCTGATCTCTCTTCCTCTGCCTTATCAAACATTAATCTGTGACCGAATTAATGTTACCGAACATTCGTTACTGGAAAGGTAACTGGGTTTGCACTGTAGCAGAAGCTGTAATCGTGCAAACAATAATAATAAAGGGACAGAACAGCCTGCCTGCAAAAGAGAGACTATGTTCCCAAGCCCATCAGAGAAAGGTATCACCTCTAAGCTAGACCCAGAACTCTCAGGCAGACAGTTTTTCTCTCAAAGAAAAAGCAAGACCAAGCAAGCTGCTCTTGGGTTTAAATTTTTCAAATTTCCTCGATCAAATTGCCAGCCTGCTTGTTGAGTAGACTGAGCCATACTAACTGGACAGGATAGTCTCAGAAAGAATCCAATTTCAACAACATGAAAGAAACACACGAGGAGGCAAGAGTCTCAAATTGCAATCGTCACTCAAAAGCAAACGGGGAAATTCCTCTGGAGATTTTAAAGTTAATTAATTTGAAACAGATATCAACATTGAACAAGTTAATGCTGCGTTGCTTTTTTTTTTTTTTTTTTTAAATAAACAGCCAAGTAAATCTCTTCACATCCCCTTTCTTTCTGATTCATTTCTACTATGATACTCTCTGGCAAATACAAAAAGAAAAGGCTTTCGGGCCAAAAGCATTCTGGGGGCAGGTTTATCTGCATTCTTACCAATCAGTCTCCAAACACACATCACTTTCACACCCTCTTCTTTAGCTCCCCCACCTCTCCCTTGCAGGCCCTCACCCCCGACTTATGTTTCTTCAGCGAATCTCCATAACTGAATAGATGACTACTCAAGGGCAAACTTTAGGTGAACAGGACTTTCAACATGGCGTACAGTTTTGTCATCACATCAAAGAAGCTGTACTGCACATGTTGGGACTTGATATCTGCATTGTTCCAGTGTTTTAGGATTGGGTCGAAAGACCAAAAAAACTAAGTGTCTTTATTTAGCATCTTCAAGAATTCACAGAGAAGTAATCACATTTTTAGCAATAAACACTGCCTGGATTTAAGATGTTTTTCCAGGTTACAGTAAAAAAGGTACAAGTTTTAAAACTAGGCCAATTAGGAGAGAGAAAAATTCTCATTTGCTGTTTATCTTATAGCACTGTTTGCGTCTTTTGTCTTTCTGTAAAATACTGGAATTCCTATTTGCCTCTTACTGCCTTTACTTCCTCTCTTGGCACCTTACAAGTGTGTTACGCTTGCAGCAATACTTTCATGCTGCTTTAGCTCTTCTTAACAGTGTAAAAAAGTATGACAAGATTTACATCCACATTAAATTCAGTTGGCAAAAGTGTTCATTTAAAACGAAAACAATTTGGGTCAAATAAAATTACAGAATAAAGCCAATAATTCGGTGATCAATTTAAATGTCCTCAGAGTCATTACAGTCAATCAATCACGATCCGAATAATTTCTAAACCAAGTCCTGCCAGTCACTGAACAACTGCTTCTTGTCTTGTGGCACCATCTTCTCTGAATGCTGTCCCCAGCAGAGGGGGAGGTGTCCCTCCCACAGCCTCTTATAGTAAGACTGAGATGACTCAGTTCTACAACTCAATACACACACCCTCCCCCAAAGAGCCCATCTTCCTGCAGTCCCTAAGCAGCCAGTGATCCAAACAATACCACCTGCCTACATTTGGAGAACTTATGTCTCAAATCTAAACCTCTCCATCCCTTCACACGGGCCCCTCCCCCATTTCCCCTAAAGTTCCCGGACCACCAAGCCTGGTGCAACGGACTGCCTGAAGCTTTGAACCCGGCCTGCTGACCATTTCCCTACCTTTGCTGCCGGATTCTTTTGGCCCCAGGCCCCTTCAAGTACTACAGCCCACCTCCCCGGTCAACCCAGCACGCCTCCCCCCATTTTTTATTCACCTCCCCCATGCACCCCTATCACTTTTACCTCTCCCAACCCTCCCAGCCAATCCGCTGGCTCGCCTCCGACGGCCCCCGCCCCATCTATCTGCGCCCACTCAGCTCTAAGGCCCCTCGCCGTTCTCAACGCTTTCTCTCAAATGCCCTAATGGGCACAGGGCGCCCGGGGCTCCCGCGGCGCTCTCACTTTCCTTCGCTGTCCCCGCGCCCCCGGCCCGCGCCTTCCCCTCTCTCTCCACACCTGCCCGGAGCCCTCCACCTGCCGCACCCTACGCTCCCGCCGCGCGCGTGGGAGCCGAGACCCGTGGCGCTTACCTGTGCGTGGCGCTGCGGCTTTTCGGGCGGCGGAGGAGGCGGCCGCTCAGGCCCCGGCGCGGCAGCGGCGACTCGGACTCCTCCGCAGCCGGGGGCCACAGCCGGGGCGGGGCCCGCACCGGAAGCGCCGCCGCGGGGCCGGACCGCCGGCCAGGGGCAGGGGCGGGGGCGGGGCGGGGCGGGGCGGAGCCAGAGGGGGCGGGGCGGGCCCGAAGCCGGAAGCGGCTAAAAAGGGACCGAGGGGTGGGGCGAGGCGGAAGTGACTCCTAGGGACTGCACTGCCCGACTGAGTCGTGAGAGGCAGCGGGTGGAAGCGGGCGGAAACTTCGGCCAATGGTAAAGTGCGGACACGGGGGGGTTCCGGTGTGAGCACTTCCGCGGGGAGTTGAAAAGAGCCGGGCTGGAACGTTCTGAGCGTTTTCGGTTGCGGAGGTTGGTGTGGCTCCGGCGGCTGGTTGGGAGGAAAGTAAATAAAGAACAGAGGAGCGTAGAGTTTGCCGCTGCTTCAGTCCCTTCCGTCTCCTGCCTTCGAGCCGGTCTTCCTCAGGGATTCCCGCGTTTAGATCAGCTTTTCTCTAAACTCCGCCCATTCTTGGGACAGAACCCTGGCTGTCCCGAGAATGTTGCGTCCCGTGGAACCTTCTCACTTGAATTAGTATTCTCTATTCTCAGTTTCCAAAAGTCAGGAGTCTGTGCCAGGTGCTGTCACCTCTTGTAAAAACACGTGCTTCTCCGACGCTTTCTCTTAGACTCTGCCACCTGTTTCACGCCGCTTGGAGATAATCTGCCCGTCTGTGTTATCCAGCTCCTTGTCATGATCCCCTCTGACTATCTTCCTTGACAATGTCAGAGCCGGTGTGGCCAACCCATTCAGCATCGGGCCTCGTCCTTAGCGACCCTTATATCAGCCTCCCAATCCCAGTCAAAATCTGGACCTTGTCCCTAAACACTATCGCGTTACGACTCAGTAATTTTTTTTTTTTTTTTTTTGAGATGGATTCTTGCTCGGTCGCCCAGGATGGAGTGCAACCGCGCAATCTCGGCTCACTACCACCTCCGCTTCCCAGGTTCAAGCAATTCTCCTGCCTCAGCTTCTCGAGTAGCTGGGACTACAGGCGCGCGCCACCACGCCCGGCTAATTTTTGTATTTTTTATTTCTTTTTAATATCCAATGTGATAGTATAATTTTTATATTTTTAGTAGAGACGGGCTTTCACCATGTTGGCCAGGATGGTCTCGATCCATTTACCTCGTGATCTGCCCACCTCAGCCTCCCAAAGTGCTGGGATTACAGGTGTGAGCCACCGCACCCGGCCAGGGCTCAGTAATTGAACAACCCTCTCGTCAGCTACAGCCTGCTATCCTCTGTCAGCTTAACTACTTTTGAATTATAGGCCAGGTGCGGTAGCTCACGCCTGTAGTTTCAGCACTTTGGTAAGGCTAAGGCAGGCCCAGTAGTTGGAGACCAGCCTGGGCGACATGGTGAAACCCGGTCTCTACAAAAAAAACAAAAATTAGTGGGGCATTTTGGCGCACGCCTGTGGTCACATCTACTCAGGAGGCTGAGATAGGAGATCACCTGAGACCAGGAGAGAAGAGGCGGAGGTTGCAGTGAGCCGTGATTGTGCCACTGCTTTCCAGCCTGGATGACAGAGACAGTTTCCCCCACCAACCCGCCCCCTTACAGCATAACTGTTCTTTCACTTTTTTTTTTTTTTTTTTTTTTTTTTTTTTTTTAGACGGAGTTTCGCTCTTGTTACCCAGGCTGGAGTGCAATGGCGCGATCTCGGCTCACCGCAACCTCCGCCTCCTGGGTTCAGGCAATTCTCCTGCCTCTGCCTCCTGAGTAGCTGGGATTATAGGCACGCACCACCATGCCCAGCTAATTTTTTGTATTTTTAGTAGAGACGGGGTTTCACCATGTTGACCAGGTTGGTCTCGATCTCTCGACCTCGTGATCCACCCGCCTCGGCCTCCCAAAGTGCTGGGATTACAGGCTTGAGCCACCGCGCCCGGCCTCTTTCACTTTTTTTTTTTTAGGTGGTGTCTCTGTCGCCCGGCTGGAGTGCAGTGGCGCCATCTAGGCTCACTGCAACCTCCCCCTCCCGGGTTCAAGCGGTTCTCCTGCCTCCGCCTCCCAAGTAGCTAGGATTACAGGCACGCACCACCACAGCCAGCTAATTTTTGTATTTTTAGTAGAGACGGGTTTTGCCATGTTGGCCAGGCTGGTCTTGAACTCCTAATCTCAGGTGATTTGCCCACCTAGGCTTCCCACAGTGCTGGGATTACAGGTGTGAGCCTGTTCTTTCATGTTATCGGAGCATCTAATCAGTTGAAAGCCTCTACTTTATCTCTTATCCTCTACTCTTCACTTCCCTCCTTACACAGTTAAGATTCAATGGTATACCATTACAAACCCGTCTGTACTTAATCTTAATCCCACCATACTACCTTTTCCCCAGCAAAATCCCTCACTCTGGATGTTTCTGCTTGCTTGTACCTTGTCATAGAAGATTGTCCTGCTGAGGCCGGGCACGGTGGCTCATACCCGTAATCCCAGCACTTTGGGAGGCTGAGGCAGGCGGATCACCTGAGGTCAGGAGTTCAAGACCAGAATGACCAACATGGTGAAACCCCATCTCTAATAAAAATAACAAAAATTAGCCAGGCGTGGTGGTGAAGGCCTGTAATCCCAGCTATTCCAGAGGCTGAGGCAGGAGAGCTTGAACCTGGGATGTGGAGGTTACAGTGAGCTGAGATCATGCCATTGCACTCCAGCCTGGGCGACAAGAGCGAAACTCTATTTCAAAAAAAGAAATAGAAAAGAAAATTGTCCTGCTGAACAAATTGGCATCACTAAATTAATAATTACCAACTATTAATGAACTGTGGGTGGGTTGCAGTGGTTCATGCCTGTAATCCCAGCACTTTAGGAGACAGAGGCGGGCGGATCACGAGGTCAGGAGTTTGAGACCAGGCTGTCCAACATGGTGAAATCCCATCTCTACTAAAGATACAAAAATTGTCTGGGTGCGGTGGCGGGCACCTGTAATCCCAGCTACTCAGGAAGCTAAGGCAGGAGAATTGCTTGAACCCTGGAGGCAGAGGTTGCAGTGACATGAGATCGCACCATGGCACTCCAGCCTGAGTAACAGGGCAAGACTCTTTCAGGGGAAAAAAATGGACTGTGAACTGTGACTAGAAATTTTATTATATTTTTCTAGTCAACTTGCTCTCCACGATCTCTTTTATTTTCCTCTGCACTGTCTTAATTCCTTCAGCGCTCTCCACGATCTCTACAAATCTGATCCTACACCCATACCACTTCCCCCTGAGTAACAGAAAATATAGCATGTCCTGAAATCAAGAAACCTACTTACTTGTGTTCCCATCCTGTCCTTCCCTCCTATGTATTCAGTGAAAAATATTCATTGAACTCCCACTATATGCCAGATCAGGCACTCATGTAGGTGCTTACTGAGCAGTGGACAAAATAAATTCCCGGCTCTCAAGGATCTTTACTAGTTCGGGAGAGAAAAGTATATAATGTCAGAGGTATATGCTATGAAAAAACAGCGCAGGGTAGGGGTTAGACAGTCGTGTCAGGTAGCTGCTGTTTTAGATAGTAGTCAGCCAGGAATTTATGATAAGGAGCCCTTAAGCAGAAACTAGAATTGACTTAATGGGTGTGAGCGTAGATATCCAGGGGAAGAGTGTTCCAGGCCAGGGAGATAGCAAATTCAAATGTCCTCAGGCAGGAGCCTGCTTGAGGTGCTATAGGAACAACAAGGAGACCACTGTGTAGATTGAGAGTGAGTGACTGGGAGAGTGGTAGGAGAGCAGATAAAAAGGTAGCTAGGGCCTTAACATGCAGGGCCTTATAAATTATGGCTACAATTTTGCCAGTCACCGCTGAAAGCCCTGGAAAGTTTTGAACAGAAGAGTGACTTGATCAGATTTTTATCTCTAAACAGATCATTCCAGCTCTTGTATGGAGAACAGGAGAGTAGAGGGGTAAAAGTAGAAGCACTCGTCTTGGCAGAAGATGACGGTGGCCTGAACTAGATAACAGCACTGGAGGTAGTGATAAGTGATTAGATTCCAGGTATATTTTGAAAGCGAGCCAGCCAGAACAGTGGCTCACACCTGTAATCCCAACACTATGGGAGGCTGAGGTGGGTGGATCACGTGAGCCCAAGAGTTTGAGAACAGCCTGGCAACATGGTAACAACTCCATCTCTACCAGCAAATACAAAAATTAGCCAGGTGTGATGATGTGTGCCTGTAGTCCTGGCTAGTCAGGGGGCTGAGATGGGAGGATGGCTTGAGCCCAGGAGATGGAGGTTGTAGTGAGCCATGATCACGTCACTGCACTCCAGCCTGGGCAACAGAGACAGACCCTGTCTCAAAGCAATTAAGTAAATAAATAGATAAAGTGAAACCACCAAGTTTTGCTGATGGATTGGTTGTATAGATTAGAGAAGAGAGTGAAGGATGATGCCTAGGTTTTTGGCCCAACTAACTGTTAGAATAGTGGTATCATTTACTGACCTAAGGGATACTAGCAGAGGCCAACACCAATGGAATATTAGCAATAAAAAGGAATAAAGTGGCCGGGCGCGGTGGCTCAAGCCTGTAATCCCAGCACTTTGGGAGGCCGAGGCGGGTGGATCACAAGGTGGAGAGATCGAGACCATCCTGGTCAACATGGTGAAACCCCGTCTCTACTAAAAATACAAAAAACTAGCTGGGCGTGGTGGCGCGTGCCTGTAATCCCAGCTATTTAGGAGGCTGAGGCAGGAGAATTGCCTGAGCCCAGGAGGCGGAGGTTGCGGTGAGCCGAGACCGCGCCATTGCACTCCAGCCTGGGTGACGAGAGCGAAACTCCATCTCAAAAAAAAAAAAAAAAAAAAAAAGGAATAAAGTAAGGCCTGGCATGGTGGCTTACACCTGTAATCCCAGCACTTTGGGAGGCCAAAGTGGGCAGATCACCCGAGGTCGGGAGTTTGAGACCAGCCTGACCAACATGAACAAACCCAGTCTCTACTAAAATAAAAAATTAGGCAAGCATGATGGTGCGTGCTTGTAATCCCAGTTACTGGGGAGGCTGAGGCAGGAGAACCACTTGAAC